TGTTTATAGCCTTAGAACGTATAGGATCTCCCACACAGATTTTCAGCAAATATTGAATGGATGAGTGCTTGCCAAGTGTTCAAGCTGCAGTCCAAGTTTCTGTTCCCATTCTCCCACTTTGGGCTTGCTAACCATCCATGAAGTAATCATTCCCGACAGGACCTGGTATTCAGTTGTCCCAATATGCATCTTGTGGTCATCTGGACCAGGTGATAAGGTGGGACCCATTCAAATTCCAGACAGTGGAGCTTAGGAAAGCCAAAAATTGAAGATGGTCAAGTGGAGAATCAAGACCACTTGAAACAGGAGCTTCTACAAGGGTGAAAACAAATTTTAAGTTTTCCATCACTGCTTCTGTTCACTATGAAGGAAGTGTGCTTTTCCTAAAGAGTTTCCTTTACATAGTTGTGCATATAGATCAATTCATATTTTTCATATCTACAAGGAGGAGCTTTAGCATTTTCTAAGCAAGCGCTTTATTTAACGTATTACTGAAGTAATACGTGTGTGTGTGTGTGTGTGTGTGTGTGTGTGTGTGTATGTATGTATTTTTTGGTAGGCTTTTGAAGGAATTCATTTCTTTATGGCTGTCTTCCATATTGATTTGATGTCTCAAATTATAGAAAACCTTTACCCTATAAAGTACCATTAACAGGTTCCAGAGATTGGAATGTGAGCATATCTTTAGGGGTCATTATCAGTCTAACACAAATCATATGTGAGATTCATCTCATTAAGACACTTAGCCACAAATACAATGTTGTTTAACCTTTTACTAAGTTCTTCAAGCAACTCTGCTTCCCCCCACCCCCCGAAACAGGGCCCAGACTGGCCTCAAACTAATGATCCTCTTAAGCCTCCCAAGTAATGGGATCACAGGTGTGCCTTGCCACGCTTATTCCACAGTGTAACTGGTAATTCAGAGCTCCACACGAAGATGCCAGAATGAATCCTCACTTAAATGTAAAGACTTCCTAGAGGGTCAGGAGTCCTCTCTGCTGTCAGCTTGTTCTGTTTCCTCTGCAGATATGGGAAAAATCGATAGTTGGAGCACCTGTGCTAACTTGCTTCCTCTCCTCTCCTCTCCCTCCCCCTCCCTCCCTTCCACCCCTCCCTTCCTC